CACCCCCACGTTGACGGATATCTTCCTGAATCAGCAGAGGGACGGAGCGTTTTGCTCAGACATTGCAGGCAAATCAATGATAGAATATATAAGATCATTCACACGCTGAACATCTCTTCAGTAAATGTAGAGGTTTGATTCCCAGCGGTTCAAACCGATTTATTAGTCGCCACATTTTCACCGTTTTCCATCCGGACTTTTAAAAAAAGACAAACTCAGTCATTTCTCTCAGCCTGTTTGGACGCACACACCTGGCTTTCATATAGACGAACCCACCGGAGCCCAAACAACCCCCCCCCCCCTCTTCCCTCGCCAAGGGACCGGGCCTTTTTCCCCCCTAAATCACCACGAGCTGCTTTCGTTTAGCAGGACAAGCCTCCATTTTACTTGCATCCACCATTTCATTGAAAGGAGACCACTTGTTATCACAAGGAGCTGCAGATGATCCAACGCTCCCTCCCTGCTCCTTGCAGAGGGAAGAGGGGGTTTTATTTGAGCTGCATCCCGGCTTTTTTTTTTTTAATCTAAAAAATGCATGATGTTACAGAGAGAGACACGACTCAGACGAGCTGCTGGAGACACTTTCATGGGACATTAGAACTTTAAACTGAACATCATTTAGTGAGATCTGTGTTCATTGGGATCATTTGCAGACATCCGTAACTTCCGAAAATAACGGAACTAATTGTCAACATTAGCTCTGTCAGTTAGCACCATTAGCTACAACCCAAATGTTTAATATTACGTAGCAACTGTGCTTCATGTACGTGAAAAATGCACACGCGTTGTAAAGTCAGTGTTATTCATACAGTGAATCTGTCAGGTAACAACTGATCTTTGCTTATTCAGACTTTGTGCATGACCTCTTGCAGATACTCCCATCATAGCGAGTTATGACCCATTTGTGTGTTTACGCATGAATTACGAAAGCTTTCTGATGCGTCGTTGAACTTGAGCATCGGCCTCCGAACAGCGTCTCGCTCTTCAGCTGCGGCACAAAGGAAACGAAGAAGCGGGAGTTCTCGTTCCCCATCGCGTCTCCCGGACACTTAAAAATTGGGTTTAAACTTGTTTGTAATGTGACGTGCCTTCCTCGTTTGTTCCACCGGTCTTGATGCTGCCTCGGTGTTGCCGGGCAACAGAGACAAGCAGCCGTCCAGGTCATTCGACCGGCTTTCAGGGGAAAACATGAAAGCGTCGCTGCTTTTCCAAGATATGATATTTCACTGGCTTTTCTTTAAAAGCAGCAGAGTACTTCAAACATAATTCCCCTTTGCGCAGATCAGTCACAAGGAGATCGGACAAAGGGATGGCGGCTAGGATGCTGCAGCGGTAAAGAGGGATGGAAGAGGAGGAAAAACGATGCAAACAACAAAGCAGCAAAATTACCCAAAAGAGAAAAAACAAAAGCAGTTTTCAAGACCTGAAGGATTAAAATCAAGAAATCTATTTTAAAACCCGTGTTTAAAGTGCAGCTGTACACAACTATTATCACATTATTTGTGAGGTTGTGTTTGCAAAACGTGTGTGTGTGTCAATTCAATAATAATTCTCTTTTCGGCTGTGGTTTGGTCTCCACGCAGGCTTTAAATAAATAGAGAAGTCGGTCTCGTAGCTGCTATTTACTTTTACTTTACTCCGACTTTAGACGTTTGTCTGTCCGGACACACGCAACACGTGATGCCGCTAAAAGAGCGTATAATTATACGCCGGTCACATGAGTCTCTTCTGTCCTCACAGGTCAACGTGTAGGCCACCTGTCTGGTTTGGGAAAGGAGCCCGATGAGTTTCTCTCCGTAATGTTCTGTATTCTTCATGCTTTTCAGTCTGGCTCTTCAGCCGTGATATGTTTGTTGATCAGGTAGCGTGAAGATGATCCGTCAGTCATCTGGTCCCCCTCGTCTCCTTATGCTCTGTGACGGCCTGTTAAGATCTGACTCTCCGCCCTCGGCCCTCTCTCCTCTTTCGATGACATCACTCATCTCCTCCCTCATTGGACGGAGCGCCCATCGGTCCCCGTGGCGCCTGGCGGGGGGGGGGGGGGGGTGGATGCGGGGCTGTAGCCGTGGCGACAGTGGATGCTGAGCACCTCCTCGACTTTGCGTGGGCAGAGTCTGAATGGGGATGACATCACTCAGGGAGACGGGAGAATAACAACGTCTCCTCCAGCTGCCGCTACCAGGAGACAAAGACGGAGACAGAGACAGAGACACCTGCACATGAACCTTGACAAAAGAAAACAACAAATCAGAAACATCAAAAAATACATTTAATAAACATTATCTGTATTTCAGATACCAATAACTAGATGAACGCATAAAACCTGAAAAAAAATAACACGATGCAGCTTTATTTATTCAAGGACCTTTTATTAAAAAAATAAAACAGTTGCCTCCATGCGGCGTTGTGGTTGTCCCTCCCTTGTGTGGCAGCGTGGTGTGAGCCACGTGAACACGTGGGGGACAACGCTGCCTAACTTCCTATTTGTGTGGATGCTGTGTGCGGTCCCCCCTTTCCTCCCCCCCCTCCCTCCCCCGCCTCTGACTCACCGCTCCGGGGACGAGGGCCCCACCTTCTGATGACATCACAGGGCTGGAAATAGCTGCAGCACTAAAGCTTCTAGTCATGGGAGCCTGCTGCAACCCGGGGCAACCACTTACCAGCTGAGGGAGGGAGGGAGGGAGGGGGGGAGAAAAAGACGGGACAGTGAATGAAGTCACAAGTCAAAGGGGGCCACTGAGAGCCGGTGGGTGCAACAAGCGAGAGCAGCAAATATGTTTCTTCTCTTCAGTCTGCGTTGTTTAATCAAAGCATAAATCTGTACCGATCCAAGGAGCCAACTGTCAATCACAAGGTAGCCCCGCCTTCTAAAAAGGAACACAATCTAGTGAATTAACGCCACGCTGTGTCTTGACTTGAGCCCATAAACTCCCATTAAATGTTTACAGTGTGCTTCCCGTAGACTTCTATAGGAGCACGAGTGTCGCCCCCCGGTGGACATCAGCGACAACGTAGGATGAAGATGCTTTGGTATCGTCTTCGTTCAGAAGTGGAAGTTGTAGCAACATGTACTTTTTACTAATAATCCATCTTTACTTTTACACGGGTAAGACATTGAAAACAGGACCCCCCCCCACCACTCTCGTTCTGTTTTTCCTTCACTGCCTATTGGACAAATGCATTGCCGACCCCACAGAGAACACAGACCCCCCCCCCCCCCGGGGGGGGGGGGGGGGAGGGGGGGAGACCCTCCTGTGGGGGGGGAATGGGGACATGCGAAATAACACACGCCGACATCTCGTCTGGTACGTCTGGTCTATCTGCAGCCATCACAACACCCCCCCCCCCATACTCTCTCTCTGGTTCTTACCAACAAGAGGTTCCATTTCACACGGGGGGCTCTGAAATATGCATGCAGTAAAAGTGCCACGATGCTCTTGATAAACGCAGCCCCCCTTTAGATGTCTCCGGCCTGCACACGGAACAGATGCTTATTTGGTGTATATATATACAATATACAATATATATATAAGTATATGGAAACATATTGACTGACAAACACATTTATGGTGCGTAACTTTCCTTTTATATTCCAGAATCATGATTCTTTTTATTTGGTCCTTGCTATTACCTTTGTGTTGGTGGAAACAGGCGTTAAATACATAAATACCACAATTTCCTCACCAGTTTTGTCCGATCAGACATTGAATGCTGGTCGAGGAGCTCAGAGTCACAGCTGTTCTGTTTCTTTATTATCAGAAAAACAGCTGCCTGCTGCTGTAGTAAAAGAACACAGAAGAGTCGGCGCTCTTTATTCTGTGTCACAGCGAAGTGAAAGTGTCAAAACAACTCATTGGATTATAAAACTATGAATAATATATAATCCTTTAATTCAAACCAAATGCCAGAGGCTCGTTACGAGCTTGAGGAGAACTTAAACCAGCCGGTTGTCTTCAGGTAGAACGGTGTTTATCTTGCGAGGAGGAACCTGTGATTCAGTGTAAAAGGGAGAAAACCAACTGCACAAAATCAAATATCGCTACTGATGAAATAATACATGCTAATATATTTATTGTATTCGTGTGAGAATGTGGCAGCACCTCAAGGACATCCAACCAGGAGGCCGCGTGGGCCGCGAGAAGACGGGTGGAGACGGGTGGAGAGCAGGGGAACCGAGCTCGTTCTGCCACGGCGACTCGGCCCAGACAGCCGCTCCTCCACCCAGACAGCCGCTCCTCCACCCAGACAGCCGCTCCTCCACCCAGACAGCCGCTCCTCGACCAGGGGCGGTGTTCACTTCTTATTTTATTCCTTTTCAGTAGGTTTCTACAACGTGGGAACTGAGGATCAACAAGCTTCTTTGTTCAACACACCTTAAAAACAATGAAGAAAGAGGCCAATACGAACAGGACAGATTTTAAATGGCGAATTTGTTTTAACGAAAATAAAAATGGGTTCCAAGAACGCAGAAGAAAACACACCAGTTGCCTCTTTTTTCAACAGCTTCTCCTCAGCGGAGCAGAGATGTTGATGTCGTGTGAAGAGGAAGTCTGGTATGTGGTTCATTTCATCACCTTTTCACACTCATCACAACTGTCGGGACAACTTCTTCTTTTCTTTCTTTTCCCAGACGTGTGTTTCAGCAACAATGTTTCAGTTTGAAATTTTTTTTTTTTTAAAGCTTTCACATCTTACCTGCAGTGTACGACCTGTGCATGAAAAAAAATATTCTTTAGAAAATGTGCCAAGATTTAGTTTACTGGAAAACCTGTGAAATAATGTTACAATACGTCTTCGGATAAATCTTTATTAGCATTTGCTTTGCAGTCCTTGAAGACACCAGAAGCACCTCATCCAGATGCTCCTCACAGGCCGCGTGAACAAGAGAAGCCCGTTCGGTTCCTCAGTCAGAGCAACACGCCGCTGTCCTGGATTCCATCTGTCCCACAGATATTACCCCTTGCCCTCAGAGCGAATGACGACTTTCACGCGACGACAACTTAATGCCATTGAAAATTTATTGTGACATCTGATAGTTTACATTGGAGTGAAAACAGACGCGTGACGTGGCCTTACTGAGACACAATGCAAAGCAATGTAGTCAAATAAAAGCATGGAATATTTTTGTTTTTTTTTCAATTTTTAGAAAAAAAACAACAACAACCCCGAGACATAAAGCCATTATAAATACAACATGCTTTGCACCTCAAACTGCAGGTCAACAGTCCTAAGAGAAGTACTCGGTAGTCGTTCCCGTCCAGGCGGGTTTCTTTAGAAAGGAACTCAGAAGCAGGTAGCCAGTGTCGCAAAGAAAGGAAATAACAACAACCAAAAGTAAACAGTTTTTCAGCAGCACGCGTCCACGCGTCTCGCCCGGGCCGCCGAGACGCTGTTGAGTTCGGAGGATCCAAACATTCTACAGAGAGACATCAGACGCCACAGGATGTCTCCTCTTTAGCTTTGGTAAAGCCCTCCCCCCTCCTCCTCCTCCCCTCGCCTCCCCAGACCGGCCTACATCGAAGGGAGCGTAAAGCGAGCCGCCGCCACGGGCGCCACCTTGGAGGTCCTTTGGAGGAAGTGGCTGTGCGCACAACAGGGAAGGAGCAACGCGACCGCCGCTCCGCCGCAGGAGCGATTTCAGCGTCTGTCAGTTTTTTCCAGCCCAGATTTCTCCATCAAGATCAGAGCGTCGGCAGGAGGCTGCGTCCCAATTCAGGAGGCGCGACCTCCGAAACCGACGCAGCTCTTGGAAGCGCTTTGACCTTTGACCAAAGACGCCGTACATTAAGGAGTGTTTTAAAATAAGAGGAAGAGTCAGGAAACTCCTAAAGGCCGCGGCCCAATAAGTGGGAGGCAGCGACTGGACTTAAGTATCAAAACAATAAATCAGGAAACTTTTTTTAAATTTCTTTTTTTTTTTATGAAAACCAGCACACAAAATAGTTCAAGAAATACAATCAGATGATCACGGCCAACGTTTCCGAGCGCTAAGGACCTCCGACATGGCGGCCCGGAGGGTCTCTGCGGAAGGCTCTTTCCCCTGCGACATGGCGGGAGATTCCAGCTCGCCCTCAAATGTCCACGTGGCTCCGCGGAGGCCCGAACGGCGGGCCCTCTGGCGGGCTCTCGCCACACCAGCCAAACAAACACGCCGACAGAGGAACAAAACACGGGAGGAGATCAGTTCCGGGCGGAGCGACGGGCCCCTCGGACCAGCGGGAGAGAAACCAGACGGCCGTGACAGGAAGAAACACCTCTGACCCCAGAAAGGAAAAAGGGAGGAGAAACGAAAAGAGAAAAGAAACTAAACAGTCACTCGTGTGTGTGTGCGCGCGCACACGTGGGCTAATACACACGTATGTACACACACACACACACACACATACACACAGAACAAAAGTGCTTCAAGTTTGGGAAGTAAATGAACTAACCCAGTAGAAATCCGTATAAAACCTTAAATATGTTACTTTATGTACAAAAACTGTAACAGGGGCCAATGTCTCAGCTGTTTATGTCTTTATATGTTCAAGTAGTTTTCACTATCAAGGGTTTGCATTGTCATCGTTTTTTAGGGTGAAAGGTCACGTGATCTGACCGACCTTGCCGGCAAAGTAATCAGTCACTGCTGATTTTTTTTAAATCGCTCTCCCGTCCCGCCCCGCGTCGCCCCTCCACCTCCTTCAAACCTGGAAACCTGCGTCCCGAACCTCCGTCTGCTCGTGCACCTCGAGACCCTAATGTACAAAATGGAAAAGAAAGAAACCGCAAAGAGCTCCGGGAGGATTTTGGTGCAGAACGTTATTTTTGAGGGACACTTTGAACGAGAAAGGGGAGGAGAGGAGGAGGAGGGGGGCACTAGGTTTTTTCCAGTTATGCACAGCACAACAGAAAACAGGAGGGGGGGCGAGCGGTTCACAAAGAGACGATCGATGCGCTCGAGCAGATCGTAGAGAATAAAGTGCAAAAGACCTACGAGAGCGGGAAGGAAACTAAGCCAACAAACAGTAATAAAAACAGTCGTATGATCAGATCGTCCGTGGGGGCAACAAGCCGTCGTTCATCTGTGAGGCCGTTAAACAAAAAAAACAAAAAAAAACTACTAGGAAACAAACTCTTTGACTCCAAGTTAAGAGCCGGATGCGTCTGCAAAAAGTGGCATCGATCAATGTGTGTTGATGTGTGATGCGTGACTACAAACACACACACAACGCATGTATGTATCCACACAGTCGTATGCATGTGCACGTGTGTGCGCAGGACAGGAAATATATATTCAGAATATGTTCCCATATCCACCTACTACGAACATCATAGTATTCATGTAATCGTGTGTGTGTTGTTTCATCACTTGCTTGATGCTCACTGATGCCCCCCAGTTAGAAACTACCACTTTTAGGCCATGTTGCAAAATGGGACCAGCCACAATATTACTCAGCCAAACACTACAAGTATTTATATATCTATATAGTAACTATAGATATACGTGTATATATATATGTATATATAACCATTTATGTCCAACAAATAGGTGCTGCTTTCAAAGCTTCTTGAGGGAAATTAAGAAGATTCACAAGAAAGAAAAAACAAATGGAATAAAATCCTCCACCACTTTGTTTGTGTGGCTTTGTTTAAGAATGATGCTGCTACAATAATCCACCCCCCCTCCAACCCCCCCTCATCAGCGAAAGACGGAGATAAAACAACACGAACAGACAAATAAAATGCTATCCAGTAACATCCTTCTGCCATCGAAACAAACACACAAGTTAAAACCGAAGCAACTGACTTTAAAAAGAATCATCATGCGTCCTGCTGGGGGAGCGACAGTCTCTCCTCCTCGCATAGCGGACGCCGTGTCACCACAATCACTAGCGTGCTGCGGTGGGGGGGGGGGGGGCATCGCTGTAGTCTGTTCTGTTGGTTCACGATGGGCGTGAAAGAGGCGACAGGGAGGAGGTTGGTGGAATTGGGATGGGATGGGGTGGGGCGGGGGGGGGTCGACGGGCGCGCTCCACGCAGTTCAATAAAGAGCATTCCAAGGTCGGTGAAGGGCGCGTCACTCCCACCCGTTGTCCTTGATCATGTGAGCCAGCTCGATGATGAACTTTCCCTCTTTGTACTTCTGGCTGCTTTCAAACGCGTGTTCCTGCGAGGAGACGAGAAGGTTCAGTTACAAGCTGGATGGAGCGACCAACTACATTCAAGCACCGAGCGTCCGCCCCCCGACCCGAGTGAATAATAACACGTCGTTATTAGACGCTTTACGCGGAGCAAATGACACGAAACGCTCTTTGACTCCGCTGCACAACGGCTTTCGACGCAGAGAAACGTTGTCAAAGCCGCTTTTAAGTGCATGAAGCACAAACTGATTCATTCGTCCCATTTGCCCTCATTTATGGATCCGTTGTCTAAGACGGAGCAGACGTCCTCCCCGCGTGTCCCCGAGGAGCTTCGTTCCGTCCTGCTGAGCTCGGCCTCGCGAGCGGGTTCTCCCGTCACAGGAGGAGCAGCTTCAGGAACCTCAGAGGAACCTCAGAGGAGCCGCAGAGGAACCTCAGAGGAACCTCAGAGGAGCCGCAGCGTCTGCAGCCACCTGCAGCTTCCTGGGGCCAAAGAGCGCTCAACTCGAACCCCGAGCTAAAAACGACCGTTACTACGGCTTCAGTGAGAGAGAGACCCCCTGACCTTTGACCTTTGACTCATCTAGCGGGCACAAACAGTGTAAAGGACACTTACGTATTTCCAGCCCAGCGTGGTTTTACAGTTTTCACAGTAGATGTCCGCCACGGCGTGCAGACCTGTGAGGAGAACCCGCTCCTCGGCTGGCCCGCAGCCGACATTCACCCTGCAGGGGGGGGGGGAGGGGGGCAAGAAGTAGAGGAAAAGGGCCACAGAGGTCAGGGACAGCAGAAGAAGAAGAGCTGAACGTGTTTATTTAATGTATTGTACAAAAATACAATACAATACAATATATAACGTGATCTCCTTTTACCCGCACACACCAATATATGGAAATACTCGATACTTCTTCTGTGGTTTTTCACCCCTCCCTTCCAGGAAACACTGCTGCTGATTAGCTTCCTTCTAATGAAAGGAAATGCCACCGGACAATAAACCATCGACTTCTGCCAAACCTCTAATTCTCCACAAAATCCATCTGTTCTCGGGCTAAACATCTTTTGAGGCTGCATGGAAGCGTAAACATGGCGCCAGCAGCCCCCCCCCTCCCCCCCTCCTCCACTGCCGTGACAGGAATAATTCATCTGGACTGTTCGTTTAGTTAATTCAGTCAGGCAGGTACGAGCAATGCAGCTCAGAGCCGCTGCACCGTGACACCTGAATCCCTCAGACCTTCGGGGGGAGAAGAGAGAGACGAGAGAGACCAAGGACCAGCCGAGCGAGAAATACAGCATGAAAAAAAACTGCTTAAAGGAGACGAACGTTAACCGGAGGCCGGCGACCGGTTTACTAGACGTCTCATCTCGAGTTTAGTGCTTAGTCTCGGTTTAGTCGGGACCAGATTGACACTTAAATACGGTCATTTCATTGCTGTTGAGGCATTTACGAGTGAAACCTGGTGACCGGGATGTTTGGTGCTGGAGTCAGACTGGACTTGTTGATCCCTTTGCATGTTTTTGTGCCTCGAATGGAATGAAAATGAGCCGGAGGACGTTGGTGGCAGCGGCGGAACGTCCCACAGGAAGACGGGGACGCAACCTCGAGGGGACGCTCTGTGTCTCTGTGTCTGAGGGATCAGGGAATTTGAACCAAAGCATCTTCACAGCGGACGTAATGAGGTTTCAGGCGTTGGTTGGAAGGGATCATCGAATACGACTCAATGCTCATTTGCGTATTTTTTGGGGGGCTACAGGTTCCTGTGCATTGATCTCAATGTTGTGCATGCGTGTTAAAACACAGCTTTAACATACGTGTGCAGTCGTCGTGGCAGCAACGGACAACAGCTGCACAGAAAACAAAAAGTGGGAAGGTGTGAAAGCAAAGCAGGAGGTTTGGGTGAAGGAGCGACGTGGGGACTCCAAACAAACGCACCCAGTGCTTTTAAAAAAAAATAATTTATTGTTTAACTTTTACTTACAGGCCCCAGAAACACGTTTAAAGTTCACGCAGCAGAGAGCAGAACGCGCTCATACTTACACGGAGTTGAAGAGATACGCTCGTCCTTGACTTCCTTGAAATGACTGAAACGACAAAAAGAGAGAAAACACAAAGTAAGTCGTCGGTGACCGGACGCCTCGGGGTGCGTCTCTCCCGGGACTCGTTCGTCCACCTCGACAAAAGTTCAGTTTTACTTTGGCCGGAGGGAAGAAATGAATGGGTGGCGAGGAGGCGGCGCGGGTCCATCACACGTGAGGCGGCGGGTTTATTCAGCGCAGGAGACGACCTCGGCTCTGCTTAATGTTTACAAGGAAAGGATGAGAAGAGACGGTTTGTTTGCTCTGCATCACGTTAGTTACTGAAATAAAAGGGTGCGTGGAATCTGCATTCAAATCCAGTTCAACAGTCACGTTTCACGCGTCTGCAGAGCGACAAACGGTCATTTGTCCCATTAGAGGGACTCGTCTCCTGCGCGAGGACCGGACGCCTCACCGGTTCCTTCTCTGGCGTTTAATGAAACACGAGCTGATGTGCGAGCTTCTCTTAAGCTGCTGCAAATCAATGTGTTTTAAAGAAATGAGTTCCACAAAGCAAATCCCCGAATCCGTCTCGACCACGCCGGGCCGAAGGGAATAAAAACACTTATTTTTTTTTATTTTTTCATCCGCAGAGTCGGTTCTTTAACGGCTGCTTCTTCCGTTTTCACCAGAATCGACACAGGAAAGAGGGAGGGATTTTTATTCCGGCTTAACTGAAGCTATTAAACCAGCTGGAGTCGGTTTGACCATCTGTCCGTGCAGACGCCTCGCTGTGCGAGGGGAAGGTTCAAATAAAGAGCCTTTTAAAGCCTTTCTTTCAGGATTAAACTGATATTTGTAGCTTACGCAATGGTTTTTATCTTAAATACATTTGTTGTAGTAAGTAGTTACACGCTGTTAACTCCTAGTAGTTTATTATACAGGATCAATAAAATCAGCTGATCATGGGAAATATTCCGGGTGGTGAATATTGGGAAGGAAGGGATGATGTGTGCTGTGGTGCCGGTTCGGTCCAGTGTTCCCGCGAGGTGTAAAAAGGCAAAGACGGCGCCTCCGACCCGAAAACACGCGCGTTCAAAACATCAGCTGGCGGCGATGTGGAAAGGGTGCGTTTGGCGAGGCCTTCCCGTTTCATTCCCTCGGCAAACACCGTACACAAGAGTTCACGCTCCGGTTAATCCCGTCGTGCTTCTCCTATATTATTCTTTATTTCACATGCGACTGGGGAGACCTCCTGCTCTGCGGGGAGCAACGTGGCTTGGGACGCCTCGCGCGGTGCTCGGGCCGCGGGGAAGTTCATCAGAAATTTGGCGCCGCGGAGTTTCACGCGGGATGAGACTCGAGCGGCGCGCGGCCCCTTGGCAGCGAGCGGCGGAAAGGAACACCGGACCTCGGTGTCGCCTTCGCTCCCGAGTAACATAATCGGCTTAAGACGGGTCGGCGCCGAGGCCCCGGCGACGCCGCCTGAACGCACAGGCGCTAACGAGGCGTGGCAGCCAACGGGGAGCTTATTAATAGACCTGCCAGCAGTGTGACCGCGATCAATACCGGGAGATTACCAGGAACCATTTTCAGATATCGATCGACCTCAGCCGGAGGAATACGGGGGGATGAAGTCTCAACGGGTCAAGAGCGAAATAATAACTCGGCTTTGCAGCACTTAGAGTAATTAATGCACGATTACGCCAGAGAAAAGTAGAAAACGTGAACAATGCTTCAATCACAACTTCTAACGAGGCTTTTGGACACTTTGCCTCACATGTCTGAGGAATTAAACACACGAGGCGAATTACTCTCCATCCTACGGGCTTAAAAGCGGACTTTGATATGAACTTTATGCCATAAATAGACTTTACAGCATCACTTTGCGTTCCACGACAGGTTTACATAATATTCGACAAAGTACCAACGCAAACATACGCGGTGTCATGTGACGTGAAGCTGAGCTGTGAGATACATACGTTGAAATGAAATAACCGCTTTGTGAGATCACGCGACGGAGGCAGAAGTACGCAGACGCCTCCTGGAGTAACAGTCCAATAAGGTCCCTTAATTAAATCCACTTAATAATTAGAGTGGATTGTTCAGAGTAATTAGGTCGGTGAAAGGCTCCCGATGAGCAAACAGCTCTGAGCAGCTTTAGCTGTTTATCTTTCATTAGCTTATTATTATTACTCCTTAATTAGCATTTGTCCATGAACTTTTAGAAAAGGTGTTTTTATTGACAAAAATATCCGAAAATATTCACATGGAAGCAAGTTGCACATTTCTTTCTCAGCTGCAACAACATGTTGGTTTGTGTTCGTCGTCGGAGGACGAAGCCTCTGCTGCTAACGCACAAGCACGGCTTTACGTCGGACTACAATAGAGATTCAGTGCCTGCGGGGGACGAGGGAACACTAATTAAATCACATGGTCTTTAGAGTGGATCTCAATGCAAAAGGGTTTAATTGATTGAATCCAAAAACCCGAGTCGGCTCCTAACGCGGCCGGTGGTTTCAGCACTTTGACAAAGGTAATAAATCGGTTTTATTTGCTTTTCCCCGGCGGGAATCGGCGCGCTGCCACCGGTCCTCCGGCATTCCTGCTCCCCCTCCAATCATCATCATCATCACTTCTCGAAGCGGCACGGAAGGAGGTTAACGTGGCAGCGCAAGAGAGCGTTCGCAGGTTCGATTCCGTGGCGTCTTTGCTGCAAGTAGCGTTAAATTACGTACGAGCGGATTAATCAAAGTCACTAAATGCAGCAGAACGACCTGCGGCGAACTCTGCATTTTGTGTTCGTGACAGCAAAGATTCCTCTGACCACATAAACTAAGTTTCTTCTTCAGAAGTCGGGTTTTCTTCACTGCGTCACGCCTGGAAACCAAAGAACTTCCTGCTTGCAAACGAGAGGTTCTAGTTAAAATATCTTTCTTCTGCTCGTCTTGTGATTCGCGAAACGCTCAAATCCTTTCTCACTTCCATTGTTTCCTTATTTCAGTGTGAATTGAGTCGTAGTGATCAACCACGGCGCTGAGGACACCCTGAGAGCTGAGGGTCCTTGAGATGACGGCAGGACAAATGAAAACATCTACAGGCGGTTCATCGGAAACTCGTGGGCAGTGAGACAAATCTGACTGGATTTTTCATCTCGTATTTTCGAAAGTGATCCTTTGGAGGTCTCAGTGAGCCGCCGCAGCGTTCAGTTCGGTCTTTTTTTGTTTCTTCTCTCGTTGTATTACTCAAAAAGAGAAACAGAAATAGAGGCACCGAGGTTTCAAAAGCCTGACCACCGAGCGCCGACACCAGCAGCCGCTGTCGTCGAAAGCCTCGGAGAATTTATCGGTAGGAATAAAACGCTGATGCAGGAGCGGCCAGAAAGGTACACGAGCTCCGGCCATTTAAAAAAAATTGCACATTGCCTTCAAACCCAAAGTGACATTTGCAGCAAATAATCCCAGAGGAGGACAACGCCAAGTCACTGCAGAGGACCCATTCAGCCGAGCAAAGGCTTCGTCACCGCGGCTCATAACCTCCATAAAGACGATAAGAAACACGCCGACGCGCCCCGGCTTTATCAGCGCTCGATTTGAATAATGAAAAACTGGATAGATTTTGCCGCCAGCTGACAAACTCGAGTGTTTCTCAGGTTCTTTATTCTCCTCTTGTGGGAGTTCCACTCATTTTAAAGCTGCGTTGGTTTATTCATTTAGGGTTGCATTGAATAAAACAAAACCACAAGAAATGATCTGCCAATTTCGCAGCTTTTTAGCTCGTTGTGTTGGTTTTACTTCACATTAACATCCACTAATTCGCACCGACAAACAATTAAGATCAAGACAGAAGCTACAGGTCACATTGTCACAATTAGACAAAGTAAATTGCTTTTAAAAGTTTAAAGCAATAGCAGCATCTGCTAACGTTCAGCAGCTAGCGTAGCATAAATGTGCTAATGCTAATCACGCCGCTAGCAACAGTGCCACGTGTCTCGAGTTAGAAGCACAACGTTGGCGTGAAATGACTGTTGAAGCAGAGACGGGACGACTCTGGGGGCCCCCCGGTCGATGCTACGCCACGATTGGACGGTCTGCGTTCGGGCGGGACTTAGCGAAAGGGCCGCGCGACCGCCTCGGGGGGAAAGCGGAGGACCGCGGCGCCGCGCCGTACCTTTGAGATGAGCTCGTCGTGGTTGGCCAGGTGCGCCCGGCAGTGGATGCAGCTGTAGGTGCGGTGGCAGCTGGGCAGGTAGGCCTGGAAGGTCTTCGACTTGGTCATCTTCACCATGTCAGTGGGGCCGGGCTCCTCGCTGGCGTCCGGGCTGGCGCTGGGGGAGCTGCAGCTCTGCTGGACTCGCTGACAGAAGAAGCACTGGAGGATGCAGGCAAAAGCCGTCGTTGTTGAGGAGTGGGTGTGTGGCAGGCTCCACACAGACACCACGGGAGAAAATCAAACCTGCCAAAGTGAGAGGCACAAGTGAATGAGAGGCCGCTTCTCCTGCGCGGCTATTTTTAGAGCTCGGGATCTTGATTGCATTTCCGATGTGAACTCATATCGTCGGCTCCGGCAATCATTTGATTACAGCGAGCGCGATCACATGTCGTCGGGCTGTGACGCAACTTCAAACACAACCCTTTGTTTGTGTGAGGCGAACCGACGAGTTTCACTTGAACGCAAGTTGATGCGCGATTCATAGTTGTGTCTCACACACAAGAACATTAACGCTTTGATCTACACGTTTGAGGGTTTAACTTTGGACGAGGACACAACGAACGAGAAAAACGTGTCTGCAGGTGAACAAAGACGTGACTCCTCCTCCTCCTCCTCCTGCACGCCGCTGGCGTCCACTGTGTGGAAACCATTGGCGCTCCAGCTGATCAAATGAGGCAGTCACGCTTCCACTGATGCCAATAAATGTGCATATTTAAACTTTTCCTAAATCCTTTTTTGCCCGAAAGCCTCGAACGTGTATTCATTTCCAATGCGATAATAAGACCGGCCTCATGGGCTTAAAGAAATCACTACAAATCTTAAAGCTTTAGCGTTCACGTCATCAAAAGCCCTACGTTGTTTTATTTTACATACAACCATTTTAATAATCCTGTAAATCTCTTTTTTTTTCAAGCAAGCAGCTTTTCATGACCCTTTTTTAATCAATCTTGTCTATACGGTTGTTTCTGTAAACTTTGTTCATAAAAAAGCTCCTTCATTGCGGAGTCAGTTTGCTTTATAAACCTTGTGACTCCGTAGTCTGGTATCTTGTTTTAATCTTTTTTACTTGAAACTCATTTATAAACGGTTTGCTCTGTTTCTGTTTAGTTGATTTATTCTTGTCTTTTTATTATCTAGAGTGATTTATGTGGGTTTATTACTGGACTTTGTTTGGATTGTGCGCGCTAGTCAACAAGTTGTTGTACTGGTCACGTTTGTCGTATTTCCATCTTGTGAGTAAACAAATCACTCGGCCTTTCCTTCCCCGCCAGTAGAATGTGTTATACTTTCTAAGGCCACTTTGATGGGTTTCTTGGTAAAAAATAAACACAATCTAGATTTTTTTTATGGTTTCATTGGGTTAAACATTAGCAGAAAGTTACTCATCGTCCAACAGACACTCAAAGCAACATTAACATCTGGAGTCACAGTTCTTGTTGACCGATAAATACGAGGCCACAATGTTCTTTGCTCTCTGAGCAAAACAGTGACGCTGCTGAAAGATGAATTCACCGCCGAAAGAAAAGAAAAACACTCTTTATACTTTGACACAAAGTACATGTCGAAAAAGTACTTGAGTCTTTTTTTGCCAAAGCGAGCGTCTGAATGCAGCGTCGCATCCAACGATGCCGCTGCATGTGAGCGCGTAGCTTCGGAAGCTAGCGCAACTTCCAAAAAACTTTAGAAGCACCAAAGACACGTTTGGTAAATGCAGGTAGAACTTGTTTTCATGAACTTCTACACGAATGCTGACCGATGTGTTTTAGAGTCCGTTGTGTTTAAACAGTTTAAAATGAGAAGGAAATATGGCATTTAAGCGAACGCCAAATGCCGCCGTGTAACATCGCGGCGTTTAGCCAACTGTTACCGACAGAACGTCCCACAGCTGATGGGATGTTGTGCACTTTATGTGTAAATTCAACAACTTTAATATTTAAAAGGTTAAACAGCATTCATGAAGTCTCGGCTCTGACGTGTTACCCGTTTTGCTCTTCACTCCAACCGGCCGTTGGTTAGCGGGCTAGCGTTAGCTTTAGCAGTTAGCCACAAACAGTTGGTGGAAATATTCACCAAAGCAACCGGCTGAACTGCCGTCATGATCCTCAGCATTGCCATTTGAGTTTCTATATTTTGTATTTGTCAAATAAATGCAGTGGAGTGAAAAATACATAATTAGCCCGAGATAATAATCAGCCATGTTTAGTTTGGTGATACTTCTATTGAAGGAGAATGTGTATATATGAATTTGTTATAATATATATATATATATATCTATATATATATTATTTATATATATATCTATATATAAAAAAAATGTATAATATATATATATATGAAGAAAAAGATATATGTATAATTATATATATATTATACATATATATTTTTTCTTCATATATATATATATATAATAATAATACATATATATTTTTTTCTTCATATATATAAAACAAATGAAAGACAATAACTAGATAAAGAAAGTGTGGAAAAACTACTTTTGGCCTGCAGGCGGGATACAGTCACTCTAACCACCACACATGTTTCTCCTTGGTAAAAAACAACAACAACACCGCAACAATACAAAAAAGTAATACAAAAACAACACAATGAAAACGAGCTCCAGCAGTTTTTCCGGTTGAGCTCAACGTGCAACAGGAAGAGCCGCAGCGCCGAGACAGAAGCCAGACGGGGAAACAAGAAGGAGCTTCCGCAACTCAACAGGAAGCAGCCGTGAAGCGTGCTGCTCTGCACACACACGCAAACAAACAAACACGCAACCCGGGAAGGTACACAAGGAGAGGCGGCAGCCTGACCTCCACTCTGCACAGTGTATAATCTCCACAGGTGCCCGAGGAATAATCCCAGCAGGAAAAAGGAGAAAATCCCCTTTCTGAATTAGGAAAGGTAAACAAACGCAAGAGCTTCATGTGTGTGTCTGTGTGCGTGCGTGTGTCACACTTCAGCTGCATCCCCATTAGTGATTAAATCAGCTTTGTGCAGTGCCACACACACACACACACACACACACACACACACAGTAGTGTGCACACGTTGGCATAACACAAGGCAGAAAATCTTCTTTTCTTCATAAATGCCAAACAAGGAGAGATGCGTTTCTCTGTGTTCCCCTGTGAGGACAAGTTGCTCACTTATAGTTAGATTTATTTAGTTATCTTCTTTGTGTTCACGTGTTCATGCTCTTTTCTCAGCGTGTCGTGTGTTTTTGTTTAACTAAATCAGATGATAACTACTTCAAATGATTACTCGAATCGAAGAATTATTTGCCAGATCTGGAATCGGTGATTCTTTTGTTCCAGCCTTCCACGCCACATGGTCACAACAGCGGACGTTTCCTTTTTGTATTATTTAAAAAAAAAAAAAGACGTTGATTTGAAGACTAAACCAAAAGGAAACAACAGAAGCAACAACAACAACGACAGCGGGTCCGCAGGTAGCAGCTGATATCCGAACTGGGCAAAGTGGAAACAAAGCGGCACACTGCGCGTCTCTGGTGACCAGCAACAGGAAGAAGGTCCAGACAAAAGACTCGCTGCTGTCCACACGAAAAAAAAGAGACATTTAACACAACCCGCGTGTCCTAAAGAAGTAAACACACACACACACACACACACACACACACACACACACACACACACACACACACACACACACACACACACACACACGTTTGTACCCCATAAAGATCTCAGGCGCAACAGTGTCGCGCTGCCTCTCTGCTGTTGCTGTTGTTGTTGTTGTTTGGTTACGTTTTATTTTCCTAACCAGAGTCACTCCGTGAATCCCCCCTGAGGTAAACACCGCCGCGCTGCCGTACTCACCACCTGGGTCATCGGAACCAGCTCGGTGCACAAAAGACGAGACGTTCTCCCGGTTGTTTTCTTTTCAAAGTCCCCGGGTTCTGGTCCACGTGCGCCGCTGCCAGAGCCCAACTTATCGTTGTGTCCTCCGCGAGCTCACGGGCTTCATGGTTTAAGCCCTTCACGGGCGTTTGTTGTGTCTTTTGTGTTCGTAATGGACTGGCCTGTTTGCTTTGGTTCGGAACGTCACCACGTGGGAGGGAGCTGGAGCTGTGATTGACGGACGGGGCCGACCAATCAGCGGCAGTGCCGCTTTCAGGTCCCCGTGGGGAAGATGGGAACCGGGTTCGGGGAGACTTTTGTCATTGTACGTGTTCTACAGGGGTTTCCACTGATTTCTCTCACTTTAATATTAAATACTTTATTGCAAATACGTCATCTCATATGTAAACATATATAAAAAGAAGCTGTATTTATTGATTTATTGTGATCTATATTCTAATTTAAATAAGTTTACATTGCATAAAGAAGCCACAACCTTGACGTTACTTGCATGATAAATATGTTCATTATTTATAATTCCAAAATGAACGAAAGCCTCTGTAGTATCATTTTAAACATAAAAAACCCTAGTAATTCCCCTACACGTGTTTCACTTCGGGGTTCGAGTTGTTTCCTTTGGCAAGTGAAAGTTTTAAATGGAAGTCAAGGTAGTTTTGGATGTTGATAAGTGTGATACTGTAAAGTATAAACCCACGAGCCAGTGTCTAAAATGTGCCAAAGTGAAGAATTATTCATAAGAAGCAATAACGGGAAAAAAAGTTTATATTCAGAATAAAAATCGGAAAGTTATTGTTTTATCGCTGAAGGGCTTATTTCCCATGTGACATGAACGCATCACTCGAAGGAGGAGGGCGCACGCAGACACCCGGATGTGTAAATAAATACAAGATGAGAATATTAATTGTATTCCTCTTCTTTCTCTGATATGAAAAATAAGACTTTGTTTTATCGTGCCGTGTTTTCCACCGGCTACTCTTTGAATTCATTGAAGTCACGTTTGGTTTCTGCACCTTTTGTGCACATTTCCTCTTCACTCCAATTTACAATCGCATGACAACATCCTATCTTAGCTTCTCTATAGACCTAATAAGCGCCATTGGGCGGTTATAACCCTTTAAGGAATAGGATCCAAACATGTTTTATAAGGCTGTCATAAATATACCAATGTGGGTGGAGAGTCCTCACAAAGCACGAAACTCGACGAGAATATTGGGATCTTTCTTCCTGATAAACGCCCACAGCTAAATCTGAGACAAAAACAAGTTGGGTCATCTCACCTATTTTTAGAAACAAGTAAGACAAAAGCTGATGATATTTTATAAGATATTTTTTTAAAAGAGGGAAGAAAACAAAGCAGCAGCCTTATCGCCCCCCCCTCCTCCTCTTCCTCCTGCTGCTGCACTGTTTATGTGTGAGTGCTGCATCGTCCCTGACATCGGACATCGGACAAATAACGCCACGAACGATGACGCGAACAACTCGAACAGCCTGAAAATCGATCAGCAATCAGGCTTCGGCGCTGCTCCGCTGTGACGTCCGTGGATACGTGCAAACACGCAGGGGGAGACTTATGAAATCACCCCTTTCGCTTTGTTTTTGTCGCCTATTCACGTGGCATCATAAGCCCGCCCCCCCCCTCCTCCACACACACGCACGCACGCACGCAGAGCTCTGCAGCCATGAAAGAGGATGACGATCACATGAAAGGAGACGCACGACCGGGTTTCGTTTCTGCTCCTGAATGTAACTCGAGGATCAAATTGCAAAACATCTCTGACTAAAAAGAGGAGACGTCGTGTGAACGGGTTGTCATGAGGCGCCGTTATGTAAATCCTGCAGGACTATAATCGCACAGGAGCACGAAATTAGACTCATTTCGACACAAAGACCAACCTTAGTTTCCCTGGAGAGTATAAACCTGGATAATAAAGTGTGTTTTCATGCATTAGTGGATCTGCACCTAAAAACGGAACAAACTTAACTTGACACGTTTAAGGTGTTCAGCACCACGTAGGCGATGCACACTATAAATCCCTTGATGCAACACAAAATACGCATATAATATACACGTACAAAGCCAGCCATAAAGTCACATGAAGCATGTTGAGGACATTGCCATGGTGGTGTGTTAGTTGCTGTGGGGATTATTCTCACAGACACGCGCGTGTCCTCCAGCAGGTCACTCGCGCTGCACTCACCCCAAAAACACCTCGCCGTTCCCCGCCTCGGAAACCACAACAACCCGGTGAAGAAATCTCTTCCTCCGCTGCAGCTGCAGGAGTCTTTGGATATTAGTAAAAAAACATACCAAAAAAAAGACGAGAGACACCTTCACCGTCCCATAAGAGGCAGAAGCGGGCTGACGAGGTCGGGCCGAGTGCCGATTAAAAAGCCCCCCCAAAAACATCAATCTCCTCGGCGGATCTCCACTGCGTCCCGGTACTTTCTGCGTAAACGCGCAAGATGTGCGGGGGGCGCCTCCGGGGGGGGTTCGGTCGGAGCAGAGTGCCGTCCGCGGGGTGGGTCACAGCGCGTGCATGTTGGAGCGGCGTGCACCTCTTCGGAGGGTTTTAACCTCTATGCATTTAGCTCTCCGACGTCAGCGGCAGGACGGACCGAGCTGTCCCGTCTGCGGCCTTATTTATCCTCGCATCCTAATTAGCTGCGCAGCGCCTGTGAATAACGCGCGCGCACGGGCTGCGGACGGATTGAGGGTTTGGTCTTAAAAACGGAACCACAAAAAGTCTCTGTTCTGAAGAATTGTCAACTGGCTCCAATGTAAAGCAACTGTTTTAGAGCGTTTTTGCCTTGTTTTGTTTCTACCGATGCTGCCTTCGGGGCCTGCGGGAAATGAGAGACGCGAGCGCACAAGATCAACAACGTGGAAACACGGCAAGACAACTCCAGCGTTTTTATCTCCCCGCAGAGGAAGTTTGGTTGGCAGCAGGAATACACAGCACCAAACATATTAATAAACATGAACATTTGAATTGTACTAATGTTGTATAGACTGACAAAACCACCACGGATACGGTTCGACTCACTTGCCTTCAACCGCATCTGGTGGTCTTCCTCCGCCGAGGAAGCTGCTCAGTTGTCAGATGGTTTCCGTGTTGCTCATTTGCCAAATGTGACCAGGAACAAGGAATAAAACAGCAAGAGTCCCCGGTGTAGTTTCTTGGATTGTTCTTTCAGATTAGTTGCATGAATGTACTCAAGGCGTGGAAACGTTTAACTTAATTTGTCAAGAGGGGATTCCCCCGGCGTTATAGATTTAACACCCGCTTTCACCTTTCACTAATCCCGCAGCTTTTACACCTACAAAACAGTTTGCGTAGAGTCTCCTTGCGTCATTTTAACACTTTCTTACAAAACAAAACAACTGAAAGTTCATGACTTCATCTGAAAGTATCTTAAATCTGATTGTTTTAACCGGTACGCGAAGGCAACAATAGCCTAGCTACACAGCCAGCGCTACAAATAGCGTCCAATCTGGGAGAAGTACCGCCGTGAGACCAATAGACTACGAGGAAGGGCGGGACCACACAGCCACTGCCAATCAAACCGAGGCGAGATGCTGGAGCGCGCGCTCGCGTGGCCAAAAGGTTGTTTTGGCGTTCGCGCGCCACCGACGGGTCCCAATGGCCCAAACCTGCCGGCGCGCATGCGTGGCCGCATTGCAAGCACGTGGTTAAGAGGAGCAAGTAAACAAACCTCCCAACATAAAGATCAATATGATTTATTTAAGTTTAATCAGACTGTTGCCTGTAGTTCTACAATAATATGCGTCTATGTAGGAGACAAAACACTCTACAGTATTATGTCATTAAATAAAATATTAACAAAGAGCGCGGTGAAGGAAATATGTATATTTGTGTATAGTTGTTTGGAGATTAAAAGTAGATTAATTTCCTTAAAATAACCCAATTCAAATCAAAGAAAATGTTTCTGTCTAACACAACAACCCTCGCTGGAGCGTATTAAGATCACTATTCTTTGTATACATATTTTGATGGATTGATTTTCTTGATATTGCGTTGAAGAAACCTGTATTTTTTAAGTCTCTAATGAATGTTTAATAACTTGTCTCTTGCGAGTGTACAAAGAGGCTTCATAGATGTGTTTTTAATGAACAGCTGGTGTCAGAGGAAAAGAAAACCCAAACATGTAAAACCAGTTTTGTCAAAGTGGCAGTCAGTCTTTAATAAGAGCAAAGAAATGCTTCGTTTGAGTCAAATCCTTCACACGACAGCAACATAAAAGTGACCGATCAATTCCATCAACGTCTGGCGGGTCAAACCTTTTCTTCCATCTTTCAGAAATGTGAACTACACAATCAAAAAGGTTTATACTGATCAAAACAGAGTGGAGTAGTTCCACTGGGGGACAACCCAAACAACATTAGTGTCCGATAGAAACAGAACATTCATTTTACAATAAAAATACCCCCCGAAAAAAAGAAAAATAAAGGGCAACACAAAAAATATATAAATGTTTGCTTTTCATCTTTTCAATACAGTCACAAGTCACAGCTGTGGAAACAAATCTCTTTAAAATGTACATAACTGAAAGGACCCCCCCCCCCCCACCCCCCATTTGTGTTGATCTAGAAATTTACTGGGATTACAAACGCATCCCCGACTGAACAAAAGCTGCACATCAAATCTTGGATATCAAGACTATCCAAAAAGGCACAAACAGACAAGTTGCACAAAGAACTCAGCAGAAGCTTTTTTTTTTTTTTTTTATACAACGAATCCCAGGAAGGTTTCCTGTGCCCTGGATTCTAACCCCCCCCCCCCCCCCCCACGCGCAAAATAAGACTATCTACAGGCAAGTCAAGTTCCAACAGGCACCTCGGATTACACGTCCATCCCGACTGAGGAGAAGCAAGTGCATTTAATAAAAGGTGGCACGGGTCTGTACTTCTCGCTCACGTCTGCTCGGGGGGGGAAATTGAGAGTGCAAAAGAAAAGAACCATAATTCTGTAAATGGTGTTTTGCTCATTTGTAACCAACAAGCGGGTTTTCCTTTGGGTGTGAGCAATTCGGGAACTCTGATTAAAAACAATATTTGTTTTACCCAAATTTAAAAAAAAAGGAAAATAGAGACAAAGTTTGAGACGGTCACATCAGTGGAAATAACTGGGTTCAGAGTATTCGACTGGAACAGGACACCATACGTTTAAAAGTGTACATTTTGTTTGTGACACGCTGTAAAAGATTCCCTAAAATACAGCTTCCTCGCAGATTAACACCACGGAGGCAAAGATAGGTCGACTAATTGAATCCTAGAATAAATTCCGATGAATGGATCCTCGTTTGTGACCAGGAAATGTTTTTGACTCTTAATTGACTCAGCTTCTCGAAACATGAAGATCTGCGGTTTTGGATGATCGAGCACATTTTACCGTTGACGGACATTTGCTTAAGACGGAGCATCAGCAGAGCGTCGCCCACTCAGTTTGATTCCGACTGTCCATCTCAACTCAAGCGTCCACGTTTGTACAACTCAAACTCTCCTTTTCGACATGAATTCATATAACAAGCGGAGCTTCAGCTTCACTCAGATTCACAGACCCTGTCGGAAATAACCCAAAAGCAGTTGCATACTCCTGAAACGGTTTAGATTTATTATTCAATTCATACTTTGTTTCCTACTTTAAGTGCCAGCAGAGACAGAGTCACTATGGAACTGAATATATTTGAGGAACCACATGTAAACGAAGACACTTTCCTAAATCTCTCTCTCACACACACACACACACACACACACACACACACACACACACACACACACACACGTTGAGTCTTCATTATGTTTGAGATAAAACCGTGAAAGCCAACAGCCTGTAATTAACAGTAATGAACTGAAAATCTGCTCTTGACTTCTGCTGCTTCTTATTGAAATTGTTGTTCTCCTGATAATGTGCAATTCAAAGCAAAAATGTTACAAAAGACGAAATGGAAAACCTGATTTATTTTAGTCTGGGTATCATTTCTACTCGTCGGGTTGAAGAAACAGCGCTTTTTGTGGTTTCTGAGTGATCGGTATAAATACAGATATATGGTTATTCTCCTATTTGCAACCACATAAAAACTAAAAGACGCCTTAGCGTGCATGACTGGGTTTTCCCTGAAGGAAAACTGTAGATGGAAAGGACATAAAAAAGGGAAAAGGAAGCGTGAAAGGAGCCATGTGAAGGGGAAGGTGACGAACGGAAAGGAGCCGAGCGCTGCGCCCGGCCTGTGTGGCGCTCGGCACGGTCGCCTATAACAGTCATGCAAAGGGCGCAGCGTTGTTCTAACAAGGCGAGCGGCAAACGGAACAAGAAAAACAGAAGAAAAATCTGAATTCTTGTCCGGATGCGCGGCACAAACGGCGCGACATGAGGCGCTTCCCTCCGGTTTCTCCACATTTACACGCAGCCCGACATTCTACTGAAGCCGATGGGGAAAATTACTTTCTTAGAAATTTGTGTCGATCATTCCTCCGGCCATTAAGATATCTTAAGACTCTTTGGGCTGTGTATATATATATATATATATATATATATATATATATATATATATTCATAAGTATATATTTGCATTTGGGCCTTGTGTGTCTGCGTTGTTAAAATATAGATCCTCTTTAAAGTAGAACGATGGCTTTCGGGGCCACAGGTCTGTGGCTGATTATGTGATTTCATTGCATAATTCAGTTTATTTAACTCAGGGATTTCTCTTTTTAAGAAAATCTAAAAAAAAAAAAAAAAGTCTCCTTTGGAACAGTGAGACAGGCGGTTAGAAAATAATTAGGCTCGGTTTTTTCTCTTTTCTATGATGATGATGATGATTCTTGTAAGTAGTCTCCCGTTGTTTGTTTGTGCAGTCTGGACAGAGAAGTAACCACGACGTTATCGCCGCTGCTCTACTGGACATCAACTCCCCCCAGACACACGGAACCAACAAACAAGCAGTTGTTTAACTTGGCTTGAAACACAAAAATCCAGACTGAGCTATGATGTGAGAGAGAAAAGAGAGCCTACAGAATGATTGATTGATTGATTCCTGACGCCATTCCTGAGCAAAGTGGACGAGCGAGACCAGAGGAATCCAGGCGATGTGGACAACGTGAGGAGGAGGAGGAGGAAAAAGAATAGAAGACGAAGGAGCATCACAGCGACAGCGAGGAGTCGGTCCATGGAATCATCTGCAGGGAGGAGAGACGTCGCGTGGATTAGCTCGCTTGCCTTTGATAGAAAAACACCGGACACACACATCAGCGACGGGGACGTACCGGCGTGAGACGTTAGGACCTAAAGGCGGTCTGGAAACGTGACGTTTCTGCAAAGATGAGCTCCTTCAGCGTCTCTTTGGGGAGGTCATCCAGCTCCATGTCGAACTTGAACGGCGCCTCAGCGACAGGCTGGGGAGGGAGGGGACGGGAGGGGCAGCGAGAGAGACGTTAGTGCCATCGTACATCCCGAACCTGCTCCTGCAACACAAGCCGTCCGCCTGACCTCATCCGTGGGGTCGTAGTACTGCTCCAGGTAAGGGTGCGCCAGGGCCTCCTCCACCTCGATCCGCTTGTGAGGGTTGAAGGTCAACATCTTGTCCAGCAGGTCCAGAGCTGCAGCACAAGGAGCACATTTAACGGGAATCTGAAACAATGAGCCTGTTTGCCCACTAGAGGGCAGCATGGCGCCCTCCATACGGTCTGCGTCAGGAACAAAGGGACTTTGATATCACACGTTTTGAGAGGACATTCAAATAAAGGAAATTGGGACTAATTTGTTCAGCTGCTGCAAGTTTAAAATGCAGCAATCAGGCAACTTCCCTCAAACATTACCTGATTTATGGGAAAAAGGTTTAATTAAATGCTAATCATTAGAAACAGGAGTTGACTCTGACCTTTGGGGTCGGCGTTGGGGAAGAGGCGGTTCCACGGAACTTTGCAGCGCAGCGGCAGCGACAGGAGGTAGTTCCTGGCTTTGATGTTGATGATGCAGTTGAGATCCTCCTGAGAGGGAGAACCCAGGATCCCTGCAGGACAAAGAATGGAGAAAAGTCGCTTTACGATTCGCTTTATTTCAGTGTGTGACTCTGCAGACACGAAACAATGGGAGACGAGATATGTGGTCGAGCACAAAAGAAGTTGAATGTTAAAACATTTAAACCCACCGAGTGAGTGCTTCAACTTCAAATCAATGAACGTGTTGCTGTGTCACAATGACGCCACCACCAGATAAGAGAATTTTTACCCAAAATGTGGTTGAGCTGATCCAAGTAGTGCTTCCCGGGAAAGATTGGCCTGTTTGACAACATCTCGGCCAGGATGCAGCCCACTGACCAGATGTCTATGGACTTGGTGTAGCCCTGAGAGAGAGAGAGCGGCACAACGCCATCGTCATGACTACAGTATATTTGAGGTAATCACAACACTTGGTTAACACAGCGCGAATGCAAACAAGTCATTCATTTATTCCCAGCGCCTCATTCTCAGACCTACGATTCAGAAGGTCAAATTCAAGATTTAGAGAAACCCATAATGCACCTGGACCGTCACCACCCCAAACATGCTTTAACAAAATAGAACAAAAAAAACAGATCATATTCCCAGGTTTATTCTACCAAAAACAAGCAAACCAAAACACTCGCACTCGCCCCGTTGGCATGGTTACAGCAGGTGAGGACACTCACCTTGGAGTTCAACATGATCTCAGGCGCTCTGTACCAACGGGTGGCGACGTACTCCGTCAGGAAGCCGGTGTGATCGTGGTCCGGGTCAGCCACGCGGGCCAAACCAAAATCGCAGATCTGCAGAGGAAGAACGTTACGACATTTGTACAGCACCGGTGTAAACGCTGAGCGCAGCTCAAAGCGCCTCGGTGAACGCCGCCCGCACCTTGAGATCGCAGGTGGTGTTGAGCAGCAGGTTGGAGGGCTTCAGGTCGCGGTGCAGGACGTTGGCGGAGTGGATGTACTTGAGCCCTCGGAGGATCTGGTAGAGGAAGTAGCAGATGTGGTCGTTGCTCAGGTGTTGAGTCTTCAGGAGCTTGTAGAGGTCCGTCTCCATGAGATCCTGGACGATGTATCTGCACAGCGACCCGCTGAGGAACTCGGCTTTGTGGTGGTCACACGTTTTAATGCCATCCGGTTATGCCCTTCACAGTAAGATCTGTGCGATCAAACCAAAACCAACACTATGACTCTCCAACGGGCATCTTTTTAATATTAATACGAAAAATTCAGTCTTCCATACAGGCTGCTGCTCAGTGCAACAAATCAAACACTCTCTGGTCATTTTCAAACGCCATTTCTGTTTTACTGCAGAGAAAGAAGACTGTCCTCATTGCGTCAAGTTGACAGGCTCCATTCAGCCAAACCTCAAACCTGCTGAGCAGACATTTAAAAAATGAAGCCTACTGTTGGTGGTTTGTGCTTTTGGGGAATGCTCAGCCGATGTGGCGAGCAGGGAGCAGAGTGGCTGCAGGCGTCGGCCATTTATATTTAGGGGAAAGCGTTATGAAACTGTGCCTACTCACTGCTGCGCTGCGCTGAAGAGCGCCTCGGCCAAATGCACAGTGACAGGTGGCCGTTACGCAATAAAAATACAACAAAAACATTCTTTGTGACTGCAAATGCTCTCCGGCAACACAAAGCGCTCAATTTAAAAAAAAAGAAAAAAAAGGTGGTTTGGTCATTAATGATCACAACTTAAACCAGAAGGATACACGTCCTTCATCAGGTCGATGGTCGGCGTGCGGATGATGTCGTTGATGCCGATGATGTTCTCATGTTTGAAGCGCAGCAGGATTTTGATCTCCCTCAGGGTGCGCTGGCAGTACGTCTGGTGCTCGAACGGGCTGATCTTCTTGATGGCCACGCGTACCTTGTTGTCCCGGTCATAGGCAGAGCTGCATTATAAACAAACAAAAACAACCATTAGACCCAGATGTTGCTTAACCTTTCACCCGGGAGTCAGAGTACCGACGTGTTCTCATTCTGCTTGCTGAGGGCTCACATCAGTCGTATAAAAGGCCCAGTTTGGCCTTTTCTTCAAATTCAGCTTGAAGTTGCCCTGTTGGTAGTTCATGCCACCACAAAGCAGGTTTTAACCACGGAGGCCTCTTTGTACCAAGCGAATGGTGAGCGATAACATTGTTTTCCTGTCCCCTGTGGGCGGGACTTAAAGTTCTGTGTCTCTAAGCAGCAACACGGCAGATAAGCAGTGACCAACTTATTCTTTCTAGAGCAGCAGTCAGGCGCTTCCTTCCTGTGGTGTGCGAGTGGAAATCTCATAATGTGCAGTAGTGACAGGAGGAAATGTTGGGGCTTGCATTAGCTGCATCTTAACCTGGCGAGCACACAATGAGCCGCTGTAGCGTCGGCAGGAATGTGGGAGTGGAGCAAAGACAACGGCATCACGCTTTAACAAGCTTAGGCAGCGATAGCTGAAGATCGAGCACCGTGACGCCACGAGTTTAGAGACGCTCCATCACGCCGCAGGTGAGCGGCGAGGACGCAGAGATGATACGGATGAACAGACTCCTCTGATGGGACGAGATCCCCTCGCGCTGGTTTCCCTGCTTCTTTATTCTACCAACAAAGAAGAGCATGACTACTAAAAAAGGTCCTTACTGCACAGAACCTCTGACTAGGATCAGATCTCAAAAACGAGACCGCATCCCAGCATGCCCTTTGGCATGGAGGGATACTGTGCGCTGCAAATAGGGCGCCGTCTCTACCTGCAGGCCCTTTCTTCTGAGGATCAAGTTCCCCTTTTACTAAAGATCCATCAACGAGCATCAACACGTTGAATGAACCCTCCGGGCCTTTAGGAGCTTTGGATTTTTTTGTTGACTTGGTTCACTTCTAGTCGTTTTTCGGCCGTGCTGTTCTGCTGCGTGTTAGAAGCTGTAGAGTTTACAACAAAGTTATTGTAGCACTAAAGCCTGTTGTTCCAAATGATTGCTTCCAAGCGGAAAAAAAAAAAAGCAATTAACATTGACAAGTCATTTTTCACGTTGTGTCAGTGTGTCTACATTCAGCAGACTATTTGTAAAACGCTTCGCCTGCCTGTGGCCAGACGCCTCCTCCACACCAGGTGCAGACATGTCCACTGGGTTCACGGTAGGCTCACACCCCCCCTCTCCCCCATCTCATCCCCCTCTCCCCCCTCATCCCCCACGTCCACTCAGCCAGACTTAAGTTCAAGTCCCAAACTTTGGGTCTAAACATGGTTCTTGAAAGACATCTGTAACTCATCTCCTTATTGCTTTAAATTAAATGGGAATAAAAGAAGGTAAGGCCACAAAAATTGGCCAGACTTGTTCTGGGGACAGGAAGTGACGCAACACGAACACGTCCAAGCTCACTGCAGAGAAATGAGAGCTCCCGGCTTCCAAGCGTCTCTGGATTCCCAAGTCATCTCCTGTCAAAACGTTTCAAGCTGCTGCCACTTTGAAACCATCACGAAACCCCCAAAAATGCCCAACAGAGCTAAACATTTAGGAAGAAAAGAACAATGCATCATTGACACCTACTTTATTTATTACAAACACACGCGAGAGATGACGGAATAAACACCCACGTAGCTTGACAAAATAAGAAAGTGAGTTGCCATGGCGACGGGGGGTAGGGACTGAAATGTAAACAGCCTTCTGAGGGAAATGTGAGTGACCTTCCTTTCCACTTGTGTGAGAGTGTGTGTGTGTGTGAGTGCACGTGACACTCCATGTTAACGCTTCCACCCGCTAGATTCCAGTTGCACAGATACACACAAGCTCAAAGATAAAAGGCCTTATTGGGCTATATAATTGTATTATGAAGTGCTTAAAGAAACAAATTACATATTTGATTCATTCATCAGGTTCCAGCCTCACGTGTGAAGATTGGCTCCTTGAACTTGTAAGATTGTCTATTAACAATCTTGCCGTTATTGCAGTCTGCGTCTAAAGAACACGTTATTTTGTTGAGATCAACAGATGATACATTTTGAATCATTGATTAAACTTGCCACCCTTTTCTACTGAGCAAATTATTAATGGAGAAATTTATACTATATATATATATATGGATCATTTTCTATTACAAACCCGGGCAAAACGAGGATTTGTTTCTCTTTTTAAATGCTTTGAATTCTTAACAACCACTTGTCGCCACGGTGGCTGCAGAGGAAAGTGAACACAATCTCAGCTCACGCTACTTTCACCACGTTTACGGAGGCGAGCTTATCAGTTCCCGGTCAGTTTGTCCAGGAGTGGAACCGAAGGAACTCTTGGCGGAAGTACAAAGTACACCGAGCTGAGTGAGTACTATTAACATGTCGGTGTACTGCCGGAGTCTCGCCGACGGGTGGACTTCCATTTGTGAGAATGCGTCACTGAAAAAGGCCCTCGGGACTTTGGAATGGTAACTTGTATTTCACGGATGTAAGCATGCATTGTGTGACGAAGAGGAGACCACACCTGGCACACCTCAGCGCTCAGACGGCTGGTGGCGGCACATTTCTCATATTTATTAAAGAGAAAATCTACTCCCTTTGGTTCTGGCACAACCAGTGGGTCAACTTGAGCTTTGGGAAGTTGTGATGGACATGTCCAACATGTTAACACACAAACCAGGAATTGATGAATGAAGAATAAATGTGGATTAAAATGGGAGGGGAAAAAAAACGATCAGGAAATGTTGAAACAAACTCAAAAAAGCAGCACTTGGTTCTTCAGAGACTTGGAAGAATGTAGCAACGCGTCGAACTCACATTTCCTTTAGTATAAAGAGAAATATCATCAAAGGCGGATTATGTCGCATTTTCCAGCTGCAGGTTCCTGAACGCAACAGTGAAGAGAATCTGCTCAGCTGCCTTTCCCGTTTCCTCTGCTTCTGTATTGTTATCGGAGCATGCTCAGTGCCCAGGAAGGAGCGCAGAGATGGGGGGGGCGTGTGTGTGGGGGGTCTCCGTTGCCAAGGAGACAGGAATACAAGTCTTTACACTGCAGCTTCTGTGTTATGCAATGGGCCTGTTTCCATGGCAATATTCAAGGGGTTGGGGGTAATAGAGAGGGGGGGGGGGGGGGCTCTTAATGCTGGGGGGTGACGCGTACAGAGAAAGTGCACATACGAGTGTCCTTCTGCCAACTAGACCCTCGGCTTTGAAGGCCGCGTGAGGTCGGAGGCACCGGCTTCAAACGGGCATCACAGCGGCGGGATCAGGGGGTCTTTGCATCAGTCTATTTCCAGGACCTCCATTAATCCAGTGCGCCACCAGATAACAACAGATCGGGGTCAGTAGGGCGGCGGCGGACAGTCCGAAGTCTCGTTAGATGTTTTTCTGCAGAGATCAAATCTTAAAATTCAAATATTAAAGAGTAATATTTTTCCTAGAACGGATCATTTGCCGTCTGCGAGGCTTCAGTAGACCACCGGGCCACAAGAGTTCACACAATGTGCCTTCTCATCCGTGTGTAGAAAAACAAATAGATATCCTGTTCAAAATCAATCCCGTTCGGCTCATTTAAGGCTTCCTTCATGGACTATTAGATTTTGTCTGAATCTTTTTTGCTTCGCTGTATACTAAAGAAAGACAACCAGAGTTCGGCGAGGCGACTGAGAACATCTAGCTCACGCTTGCGTGGCTGACTGATGAAAACGAGCTTTACATGAGAAAAAGGTGCCGCGTGAAACCGCCTTGTGCAACACGCATGCTTTGATAAGCCGCAGCATCGTCTGGTGAGTCAAATGGATAACAAAGCATGACAGCGGAGAACATGTTGATAACTTGATGAGAGCCACGTTACCACGCAGGGGTTCCGTTTTGTGTTCCCCAAAACACACAAATCCCGAACTGAAAGTTTCCCCGGTGATCAGCGGCAGACGTCAGTGAGGCAACGTTCAACACATGAGTCGCGTCATCATCGACCCGGAGGAAAACTTTGAGGAAGGGGCGTTTTCCCAGTGGGAAGCGTACAGTTATGGAAAAATGAAAGGAGAACCCTAAAAGAAACAAACGCTGTAAATTTCCCTGAAGAGTTTTGAGCGAGCAAGCAGATATTTATGGAAGGACATTGAGGAGCCACATCGAGCACTAAACGTCCACAGATGCTAAAAGAAACTTTACAATGTCATAAACAAACAATTCATCATGACATGAGCCGTGACGTTGATGCTATAAATACAGACAAGAACCATAATAAACTATTTGAGGCGCATGGTTTAAACAAATCAAAACTAATTCGGTAAATCTGTGATTTATCAAACAAATATTTATTATGAGCCGTATCGTTTACCAGTAGGATTCAACCTGGAGCCATTTCAATTTTCATCAAGACCACAGACAGGTCGCATTTAACACAATTAGACCAGTCATTTGATTTCCATCCTCAAATAAAATGGTTTCTTTCTGATTCGGAGCATATATTCACTGTTAAATATCCGTCGCTGCGCTGTCTGAAGTAGAGCAGCGCTCCTACAATAAGCACAGTGTGACCTCTCGCTCTGAGCCGCGGCCCAAACAACCGGAGCATTGTACCTCGGTTTGAGCTCGTTATCTGCGAGGTCACACCGCCGACCACCCGGCGTTATTCTGCATGCATTCAAATTGTGAAGCACGCGCTTGTGTTGCCAGATGAGGATAAGCGATTATTACAAAAGCGCAACATTTGTTGTATCGTGCGATTGAACACTTTGAATCCATCGTTATATCGGAGTTAACGCTGCACATGTGTCAAGAACGCAGCTTTAAGGAACCTGCTTCAAGAGAAACGCCGCCTGAGCACGTCGCCGCGGCGCGCTGAGGGTCCAACATCATCTTAGTCACATTTCATACGGTCACCTTGGAATTCAATTGAATAAATTCAATCCATTTATTTGAATTACTGTGATTTAGTGAGAAATGGTTCTGCAGCATAAGCTGATG